GTTGCTTTCCCTAAGATTTCTGTTGCCAAGAGTTCAGGTTTCTTACATGTACCACTTAGCTATTCTCCAGTCAAAGTATCTGGTCCTACTTCTGTGAGAACTATAAACAAAATAATTAAATAAGAGTTTCTAGGGGTGGAACCCAGGCATAAGTGTCAAAGTTATATGGGTGATGCTAATGGATTGTCAGGGTTGTGCTCCACTGCCTTAGTTCAAACTCAAAGTTTCTTTCTTGGGCAGCACATTAGAATTACCTGTCACACCTTAAAAAAGAAGGAAAAAGGCCCAGATTCTACCCTCAACACATTTTGATTTATTTGGTGGGCTTTTTTTTTTTTTTTAAACATTCCGAAAGGTTCTAAAATGTAGTTAAGATTGAGAACAACTCATAGAAATCAATGGCAGTTGACAGCTCTCTGTAAAAATATGGCTGTTAAGCTTCCATCTATACATTGCCATTTGTTTGCATACATATTTGCTTACACTTGTTCCCTCCCTTACAGAGACTTTCCTATGAAGTAGCTAATTAGATCACTAAGATATTTTAAGAACAAAGCCCATTGGTTAAGAAAGAACTGTTTCTTCATTTAGGTTCGTGCAGCTTGTTCCTGTGCTCTTGGCTACTTAACATACAATGCAAATGCTTTCCGCATCCTATTAAAGGAATGCAGGAATAAACCTAATCAGTTCATTCGTATAAAAAATAATATCAGCAGAGATGCAAGTATTAATCCAGCATTTTTAAAGGAATTTCAAATGCAACAAACACTGGTGGGACTTCCTTCCTTAAGGTATAGTCCTATATTAGAAGTCGCAGTAGTGAAATTATTGATAGAGGAAACTTTAAGGAGGTTTAGTAAGATCAAACAAGAGGAACTATTCTTGAAATGAATATATCTCCTATATAGCAGAGGATAAACTTCATTCTAAATGGTCATTGTCAAAACCTGTTTTAATTCCAACTTAGCACCAGAGTTGTGGGTGCAGACAAGAATACACCTAGATTTTGAAGATCTTCTCTGGCCAGGATTATTCACATTTTAGAGAGTTTTTGGGAGACTGGTCACCACCACATCTGATTCAAGAAGTCACTTTTTAGTAGACTAGGGGTACATTTGACAGTTCTGAGACAAGACCATCACTCCGACCTTAGCATCAAATGGGTCTTCTGGACTAGGCCAAATTCCCAGGGTAGAAACAGGGCTAAATTAGACTTAGTGGTTAAAGTTATGGTGAAGTTTTCCAGGAACTTATTCAGAGGATTTCAACTCACTGTTGTGGTTTCATCACAAACTGAAGGCCCCCCCAAAAAGGAAGAGAGGAGAATCTCTTTACTATGGGTATATTATCTGTTCTGTAAATGCAGCTGAATTACAAGTTTTCTCTGCAAGTAGTGATATTCATACATAGGAAATAGAACTGCTCAAAATATATGATAAACTCTATGATAATGGAAGAGAATAGGACCCAACAGAGCATCATGGTTAACTATGATTGTAGATAGCCATGTACAAACATGTTCTCTATCAATTTTAAGTACAGAGAATGATGAGTACAGCTTTGGAGCTACTTTAATTCTTTGAAAAACTGAAAGTCTAAAACGGGTGACCTAATTTTATGATAAGCCAGGGAACCTAAATTATAACTGTTATAATTGATAATGCTAAATAATTTTCATTGGTTCAAAGAATTATGATAAATAATGTAAGTAGTATTTTACACAGTCACTCCCACGGCTAGCCCATATGATGAGTTTGTGGGAAGTAGAAAAATATACCCCTTTCTCAGACCTATCTTCTTCAAAACCCAGCTGAAATGTCTCTTCTTCCATAACACTTCCCCTGATCACTTCAAGCAGATTTAATATTCCAAATGCTTAGAGTAAGTAAGTGAGTAAATGAGTGACTGAATATAAAATACATACAGGTAACATGCAGTTAGTGGAGGTAACATGTATGAATTAGGCCATTAGGCATTAAACCTGGTACTGTTATTTCTTCATGTATTTTTTTCTGGGTGCATTATGTCTTCATTTATTTTAATAATGATAAAAATGTTTTTCTTTTAGTCTGGAGAAGAATGGAGGACCATCCATAATTCCTGTCTTTAAAAAAGGTAATTGATTTTTCTTTTATCTATAAAGCACCTCCTGCCCCAGATACTTTATGATTCTGTACTCCATCTCTAAAAATTATTCAAAATGTAGGCCGGGTACAGTGGCTCATGCCTATAATCCCAGCACTTTGGGAGGCCTAGGTGGGCAGATCACTTGAGGTCAGGAGTTCAAGATCAGCCTGGCCAATATGGTGAAACCCCATCTTTACTAAAAACAAAACAAAACAAAACAAAAAAACCAAAAAGTAGCCGGGCACAGTGGCGCATGCCTGTGATCCCAGCTACTTGGGAGGCTGAGGCAGGAGAATTGCCTGAACCTGGGAGGCAGAGGCTGCAGTGAGCCGAGATCGCACCACTGTACTCCGGCCTGGGTGCTGGGTGACAGAGTGAGATTCAATCTCAAAAAAAAAAAAAAAAAAAAAAAAGAGGAGAGGGGCCCCCCCCCACCCCGAAAAAGTTTACCTACATACTTTTCTTTTGTAATTCCATCTACCTAAAGTATCTTCTTATTTACAAGCCCATGATAATCATTTTCTTTAAGGCCTTCCCTACTAGTATCACTTGAAAGTGATCCCTGTCTTATTTTGCTTTTCTCAAACCATGCTTAGAAATAAATCCATTTAAACAACCTGTAAGTATGACTTAAATTATGATCTTGCTATTACTGTTTCATGTACAACTTACTTATCTGAATTCTTAGGGCTGAGACATTTTTTTTCATTGATACTCTATTATATAGTTTTGAGTTGGTACATTATACTTGAATGGACTAGATTTGCAGAGATCAGGGTCTAGATCTCATATTATTTATCCCTTCCAGGGAATAGAAATTACTTGTCAATTTCACGTATATTCTTAGTGCTTGTTCATGTAGGACCAAAATCAGTCCTTATTTGGAATGTTGTCCTATCATGAAAATCAGGGATAGAAACATTCAGAAGGCAAGATCAGTTTGCTAGAGAGAGAATTTAAAAAGACAGTAAAAGGAGAGGAAACAGCTTCACATATTCAGCAAGTATATGAGGGAAGCTAGGTATGTGAGCAGGCTATATAGAAATATATATAGAATATCAATATAGAAATAAATATAGAAATATATATAGAATATCCATTTTTTTATATAGCTTCTTTAATGTAAGAGTAATTTACACACAAGAATAAAGTCAGTCTCATTCTTTCTTCACTTTAACACTGGTTTCTAAACAACAACCTGTTTATCAGTCATGATCTGAAGTTTTCACAGGTTTGTGGTAACATAAGAAAAAATAAGGACAAGGTAGCAAGTTTCTGATGATATTCATTTCATTCAATGTCAAGTCCATCATTTTGAGATAATGTCTTTTATATTTTCTTTTGGTACTAAAATATCCTTTATTTTATATAATGATGTTTAAAGTAGTATTTGTTCTTTTATTGGTGCTAACTTGACATAACAAGCTAGCAAACCATATAGCAGTCCTACAAATTTTAGGCCTCTGACATCTAAAAGTTTGGAAGCACTGATTGGGTTCTCTTAGTATGTTTTAGTTATGTAAAGAAAATAGAACTACATAGAACTAGAAGTAATAAGACTACACCCAGGGCTCTCAGGAGAGACAATTAATTGGGGCTCTCTAATTTTTAGGGAAAGAGCACCGAAGAAAATTAAAACCTAAAATTCAACCAAAAGATTCTTTGACTTTATTGCCTCCTGTAACTAACTTCGTGGGACTCTTCAAAGCAACAAAAAAGACCAAGGATTCCCATAATATTTTTTCTTTTTCATCTACAATTACATCAGATATCACAAATGTATCAAGACCAAGAATAGTGTGTTTGAACCAACTTGGGAAACATGTCCAGAAAGCCAACCCAGAGCCTGCAGAAGGCTAATAAAAGCACTTTAGTATGAAAGGATTCCTGAGCCATCTTTTAAAAAAATTTTAATTTTTAATTATGGTAATATGCAATAATACAGCTGAATAATCTTTTTGAATGAAAGTTCTTGATCTTGATATTAAGCAGATTTTCCTTAGCATGTCTTTGGAATTTAATATCAGGTCAGAGTTATGGTTTCAAAAAATAAGTAGGATTTCTGTAAAGATAAGTAGGATCTCTGCTTCCTAGGTTCAGGCAATTCTGTCCCAGCCTCTTGAGTAGCTGGGATTACAGGTGCCCACCACCACGCCTAGCTAATTTTTGTATTTGTAGTAGAGATGAGGTTTCACCATGTTGGCCAGGCTGGTCTTGAACTCCTGACCTGAGGTGATCTACCCGCCTTGGCCTGTCAAAGTGCTGAGATTACAGGTGTGAGCCACTGTGCTCGGCTTCACTGTGTACTTTAAAGCTCCCCTTTTCTCCATCCACTTGCTCAATTGCCTCCATACAGTCTGAGGGTCTTGCTATAATCCATTCTCTACCTGGGCTGCAGTTGGCACTGTAAGATATATTAATTAGCAGTTATTTTCCCTGATATGTACTTAGGGCTTTTATGTGCCAGAGTCCAGAGCCGGTGAGTGAGTGAATGAATGAATGATTATTTATTTGTTTGAGATAGGGTCTTGCTCTGTTATCCAGGCTGGAGGGCAACAGTGCAATCACAGCTAACTGCAGCCTTAAACTCCTGGGTTCAAAGCAATCATCTCACCTCAGCCTCCTGAGTAGCTAGGGCTACAGGTCATTGGTCTCTGTTTTCCTGAGTGTGGTGGTAGAGGCCAGTAGTCCTAGCTACTTAGGAGGCTGAGATCTCTGCTATGTTGCCCAGACAGGTCTCAAATTCCTGGCCTCAAGTGATCCTCCTCCATTGGCCTCCCAAAGCACTAGGATGACAGGTATGAGCTACCATGCTTGGCCCAAAGCTTGTGTTCTTAACCACTGAAAAATAAGAGACCTCTTTAATCTTCGTATTTAATTCTAAATTATCTTAATAGTGCTGAGTCACAACTTTCTGGTGGATTGACCAAAATACAGGAAATGTGGAGGGAAATTGTATATTTTATACTAGAAATCAATACATATTCAAATGATAAATTCTATTATCCAGCACAATTAAGGATAAGAATTCATAAGAATGGATATATTAAGCTTCTGTAGATATTTTTAAAAGCCTTTAGAGGGCAACTTTTGAGCTCTGAAACTGGTTTCAGGTGTGCTCAAGACTGTATTTTAGAACTATTATCAGGTTATCAAAGTTTCTCTGCATTCAATTCCAGTTATTTCCTGAGTATCTTGGCCTAGCCAGACCATCTTACCACTCCTAAAATGTGTACTATTTCTCCTAAAGTACAATGCCCCCCATAAAGATTATTTTTATTACTCTATGTTTTTTACTTTTTAAAAATGATGTGTGAGAAATTGGCCCTTGGAGGCTGAAGTTGGAGGATTACATGAGGCCTAGAGTTTTAGTCCAGCCTGGGCAACATAGCAAGACGCCGTCTATAAAAATTAAAAAAAAAATTATGTATGAGAAAGGCCTCCAGATATAGAGGGTTATATTCAAAGAATAGTACATTTAGTTACTTCAATCAAGGCAGAAAAACAGTGATAAGCTTATGAAATTTGCAGTACAAAGTCTGGATTCAAAAAAAATTAACCAAAAAAACTCCCACATTTATTTCTATCTGATTATATACAATTTCTCAAATAACTGATGTGAAAGTATATGGACAACTAAAGTGTACAATACATACTTCAGGGATTACTTACATGTTAAAATTGTAAAACCTCAAATTATACGGATTTTTAAAAAATGCACAGATATCCTATTTACTCCAGAGAGCATACCTAATAACAAACTCTTTTTTTTTTTCTTTTTGAGACAGAGTCTCTCTCTGCCACTCAGGCTAGAGTGCAGTGGCACAATTGTGGCTCACTGCAACCTCTACCTCCTGGGTTAAGGCAATTCTTCTGCCTTAGCCTCCCAAGTAGCTGGGATTACGGGTGAACGCCACCATGCCTGGCTAATTTTTGTATTTTAAAGAGATCGGGTTTCACCACATTTGCCAGGCTGGTCTCCAACTACTGACCTCATGCCCACCTCAGCCTCCCAAAGTTCTGGGATTATAGGCATGAGCCACTGCGCCCGGCCCATAGCAAACTCTTAAAATTAATAACATATTATGTTAGAGAAAGTCAGCTTTTGTCTTGATTTGGAAATGTCTGCTTTGTATGACATTGATCTAAAATTGCTCTCTCACGCACACCTGTAATCCCAGCACTTTGGGAGGCTGAGGCAGGCACATTGCCTGAGCTCAGGAGTTCAAGACCATCCTCGGCAAAATGATGAAATCTCGTCTCTACTGAAAATACAAAAAATTAGCTGGGCGTGGTGGTAGTCACCTGTAGTCCCAGCTACTTGGGAGGCTGAGGCAGGAGAATTGCTTGAACCCAGAAGGCAGAGGTTGCAGTAAGCCAAGATCACACCACTGAACTCCAGCCTGGGTGACAGAGGGAGACTCTGTCTCAAAAAAACAAACAAACAACAACAAAATAAAATTACTTTCTCATTATAAAGTCAGGTTCATGTTTCAATAGAAGTCAAGAAACAGCTTCTCCTATCCTGATTTGAGGAAGTGGGGGAAAGTCCTAGGCCCGTATGATACAGGGCCAGGATTCAGCAAAATTACTGTACTTCTTTCAAAGTTTTTCTTTCTACCTGCCAACATCAATACATTCCTTTCTCAAAAGATGTTTTATTTTGGTTTTTAATAATTAAAAAAAGACTATATTCCCTTGTAAGACTTTAACATTACAGTATCTTAGAAGAGCAGGTAAAATATCAAACGTAAGAAAAAGAAATAACAAAAGAAAGTCTTGATGAATAATTAATATTATATTTCTTCTACAATTTGATACACAAAACAATAAAAACTTAATTTTAACATTAATACTACCTGTAGGGATTTTTTTGAACAGCAAAAATCATAGGTTCATTTTTAATCGCGGTACTTTTATGGCAGCTTCTTCAACTTCTTTTGATATGTCTACCCCAAGAGGACATCTACGTCAGAACCAGACAAATCACATTATTTATTTGCTTCATGATCCATCACTAGTTCTACAGACTATTTGCTTAGAAATCTGACAGTATAAGTATCTACTGTATAATTCATCATATGTGGTGATGATTCTTAAATGCATACAAATATAGTGGGCCCTCAAGTCAGGATAATGAAAGCTAGCCTCATTAATAAGAAATCTAAATTTTGAGACTTTTTTTGAGAACATCTGTTTTCTTGTTCTCAAATACTGTACATAAATAAGTTAAAACGTAAAATATAAAATAAGGAAAATATCTTATAAATCTCTACAAAACTAAAAAGGCAAAACATTTTTACCACACAGCTAAAGTCAAACCTGCATTCATTCACATTTTAGAAATGTCCCAGGTTTCTATAGGTTCTTCTCTATAGCACAACTATCTAGTTATGGAATATAACGTTGACAAATTTTTTTGTTTGTTTTTGGTTTTTGTGAGATGGAGTCTCGTTCTGTCACCCAGGCTGGAGTGCAGTGGCACGATCTCGGCTTACAACCTCGACCTTGTGGGTTCAAGCAATTCTCCTGCCTCAGCCTCCTGAGTAGCTGAGATTATAGGCGCCCGCCATGACACCTAACTAATTTTTTGTATTTTCAGTAGAGACAGGGTTTCACCATGTTGGCCAGCTGATCTTGAAAACCTGACCTTAGGTGATCTGCCCACCTCAGCCTCCCAAAGTGCTGGGATTACAGGCATAAGCCACTGTGCCTGGCCAATGCTGTCAAGTTTTAAAACATCAGATGAAAAGATGTTTAAAATATAATTATGTTAGATTATGAAAATAATTGTCTTTTACTATTCCAGAATTAACTTATAACAGAATTATATAGTAAATTGAAAAACCAGCTAGGCATGGTGGCTCACACCTGTCATCCCAACACTTTAGGAGGCCAAGGTGGGTAGATCACTTGCGGTCTGGTGTTCGAGACCAGCCTGGCCAATGTGGCAAAGCCCAAAAACTAAAAATACACAAAATTAGCTGGACATGGCAGTGTGCACTTGTAATCCCAGCTACTCAAGAGGCTGAGACATGACAATCACTTGAACTCAGGAAGCAGAGGTTGCAGTGAGCTGAGAATGGGCCACTGCACTCTAGCCTGGGTGACACAGTAAGATTCTGTCTCACCAAAAAAAAAAATAGTAAAAGAAAAAACTGTGCTATTTGTTGGAATTTTGATTTGGGAGAGGAAATAAGGCTTGCAGGAAATAGCTATCTTTTGGCCAATTCTCAGCTGCCTGTGTAAGAGCATAATCCCAACCCATTTTCACACCTGAATGCTTTCTGCAGGTTTTCCTTAAATTTCCCAGCATGTTAGCTGGTTTTGAGATGTTCTTGACATTGCAAAAGTCCAGGCCATGAACATGGTTTCCACTCTGGTTCCACAGGAGGGAATTCATCACTCTTACTCATGGCTTGTTTCTAATTCACCTAAACTGGTCAAGATTTTTATAATTTAATACTGTAGCAAAAATATTTCTTATACAGTATCAACCTCAACTAGGTTTATGAAAGACATTTATGTCACTTTCCTTCAAGTACCACAAGAGTGTCAATGAAAACCTCATATATAAAAGCAGAATTCAGGCTTTGACTTAAGTAATGTAACTTGCATAAAGAACATGAATGGTACCACATACTTTGGTTCATAGCGGATGTCTTCTATGTCATGTAAGATGCCCACGCCAGCACGTAATCTTTCAATACCGTTCCTAAATAAGAATCATTAAAATAAAATCAATAGCTCCAAGATCTGAAGGAAGGTTTAGTATGATAAAACGGCAATTAATATTTACATGATTATGAGTGAAGCACATATATCTTGTGGCCTACCATGCAATCATAATGCCATTATCAGTGCACAGTCTGGGAGGAGGACACATCAAAGTGCACTGTGTTGCGTTTGTTAAAATTTCCAGAGCTCTGCGGATATAGAAGTTACTTGCAACACCTCCAGATGCAACCTGAAGGAATTGAGAAAACCAAAAACTATCATACATGGATATGAATCAAGCTGTTAATTAAACCTGGGGGAAAAATATCAACATTATACAATAATTAACTATCTCATTTTGAGATGGGTAATGGGCAAGTTATATATCTATATAATAAAAATTTAGAAAGAAAAAATCACTAATAATTCTAATAGCATAGAAACATTACTAGCATTTTTGTATATTTTCTTCACACCTTTCGTCTGAATATTTAATATAATTACAATCATAGTAAACTACTATTTTAGACCTTGAATTTTTTATTTTGTGCATCTTACTACATAACTCTTAAAAAATTATTATTTGATATCCATGTAAAATTCCATCTATGAATTACCACCATTTAAACATTGTCCCACTTTATACTTTTTAAAAGAATAAAGTTTCAGATACAGTTAAACAGGATGTTTATCAAGGTTTTTAAGCACAATTGAAAGGATTTCGGCTGGTACAATGGTAATAGGTTATCAGAACTTATTAACATTAGTGTTTCATGAAAGTTTTTGTACCACCTCCCACTGCTAAATTTGACTGGCTTATTTAAAAACAAAAAGGGATTTCATTAAAGGATGAAGGAAATCTGCCTATTTTTCTAAAAATAATGAGCAGTTACTGCATTTGCTTTCTTTATTGTAAACCCTCTTTTAAATCCAAGAAGAAGATGCGATTTTGGACTTTTGTGCTATAGAAGCTATATAGATGTCTCGTGAAGCTGTCAAACTAGTACAAGAAATAGCGTTAGTCCTTCCTATCCTGCATAATTTCATACTGTCAGGGCTAGCATAGCGCATAAAGATCTGTTCACCTAAACACAAGGTCAAGGTCTTGGGAAAAAAGCAACATATTGCAAAGTGTAACTATTACTATAAAATGAGATAAAACTTACCAGTACTGCATTATTTTGAGGTAACAAGTCTCTCTGCTTACAAAACAGAATAGCCCGATGTGTTCTTTTCACAATAAGACATGCTGTTGTGTGCTGTACTGTGGCAGCAATGTCTGCAGCTGAAGACAGGATTTGTCCCTGCTCAATACCTGCAGAAATGAGCAGGTATTTTTAGAAACAATCCAGGAATATTTATCTGTTCAACTTTATTAATTAGGAATATACCTTCCTCTTTTTCCTTTTGTATTATTATTTTATTAATAAGGTGTTGAAGTCCAGTAAAAGAAAAATCACAATTTTTAGCACGTTGCAAGGGAGGTGTGATGTCAAAATGAAATCTGTTTCCTTGTTTGGCCAAATGTTCTATGGCTTTCCCACCACTCATGGTGGAGCATTCTGGATGTTTTATTAAAGAAAGTCTTCTTGCCACCTATCAAAAAAATATTTTTTTAATGAGTCATAAAATTAAATACTTTGAAACCAAAAGACGCAAAGTAAATAAATTGAAAACTGCTAACAACCCCCACCCACCACCAAATGAATAAAACATGCTATACTTTGAGAAATATAGACTATAGCTGATATTCAGGTAAGCAGACAACTCTGTTCCTTATGATGACCTGAACAACAGAGGCCAATCACTGCCCCTGTCTATTTTTGCTCTTCTGTTGGGGTTGGAAAATAGGCTTGAAGTTGACAGTGACTGCTTAATGACGAACATCAGCAATAAGAACTTGCCCTGTACTTTCTTCCTATCAGTTCACTGTGGGAAGCAGTGTTTTGTTTTGTTTTGGCCCCATATATATGGCAGTAGCCTCTGCAGTATTCTAAAACAAAGGGTGAAAAAAAACCCTATGTGTCTCTGGTGTCAGCAATTATGTGATTTAATTATAGAACTCTGTGTCCTTATGTTAATCTTTATACATTCTCTTACCTTTTTGCAGTATGTTAGTTTACAAAGCACTTTTCTTCACATATATTATTTGACAAAATATATAACTGTATCTGCCAACTATTTCAGCCTTTATGTATAGATACTAACCTCTTACCATTTTATTAGGAAGGGCTAAGAAAGAATTCTAAAGTTGTGTACTACTTTTTATTTTTTCTTACCATATGTGAATTTTTTTCAGTTTACTAAGATATCATTCAGAAATATTTAGATGAATGGTGGTAGCACATCTGTTGCTACTTAGTTGAAATGTACAACATAACAAAAAAGAATGGAGAAATTAATTCTTAAATAATTACCTTGTCAAGCATGTCACCTGGTGCTATGTCCAAAGACTTTCCAAGAAGCAGAAAATCCGAAACTCCTTGAACTAGTGCCAACAGACAGTGACCTCCAGAAATCAAAAGAACTAAAAAAGGAAATTCTACTTTATTGGTCAATCTAATAGTAAGTGCATGAGCCTCCATATGATGAATGGGAATGAATGGCTTTTTTAACTGTCCTACCAGCTGTAAGCTAAATGATAAGCCCACTCCCAGGCTTAAAGCAAGTCCTGGTTTTATGGTAGTTGCAATTGCTGAGAGGTCACTTGGAGAGATGCTACTGGCAGAAAGAGCTTCCTGTACTATTCGTTGAATATTTTCTCTGTGAAGCTGTTGAGCTACTGGAGGAATAATTCCACCTGTTCTGAAAGAAACAAAGACAGCTTTTTGTAGTTTTAAGAATGTAAAAATGAAGAAAAATGAAAATATAACTAAAGGCATGTCCTCAAGTTAATCATTATATAGCTGAGTAAATCAAGTATTTTCTAATGTGTACCTTCTAATGTAGCACACTATGGTTAGAACTCAGTATGCAGTAATCAAGGAGATAATGTTTCTGACTTTTTCAACTTATTCACAGCAAACTCCCACGGATTTATTTGTTGTTTAATGAAATCACCAAAACAATCTTGCAAAGCATTCCACACAAGTTTTGAGCATGGGAAGGACAGGAAAAAAACTGTATTTAAGGAAAATTAATCTTCTTGCTGACAGGAGATTTTAAGAGAGATTACTGCAAAAGTATTTGTGTAAAGTGATTATATCTTAAACTGAGTGATTGCGGGAGTGGAAAGAAAGGGACAGAGAACCTTGAGAACTGCAATAACTAATTGAATATAAGGGTCGGGGACTAAGGCATCAAAGTTTGTTCAGCTATTCAGCTGGAATGACTGGGAGAAAAGAAATTCTAACAGAGAAACATGAAGACAGTTTTATAAAGATGAGCTAATTTTAAAACACATTCCACTTGAGGTCACAGCAGGAGACAGATAGCTTGCAATCCTGAAATACAGTTTGGGAATCTGGTGTTCAGAACTGGTAATTTGGATTTTTAGTCCATGTAGGACAATGGATGGCCACTCCAAACGTCAAGTGTAAAGAACTGAGGCAAATTTTCTAGCAACAGATTTGCTATGTGACTGAGTTACAATATGAGAAGTAGAGCAATAAAATACAGAGTCTGCCAAATGCACTGCTAGTCTCAAAAAAAAAAAAATCTTCAAATATTTGATGTTGCAAAACCTACTAGTTCTATATGTAGAAATGAAACTTCTCAGTAAGTGCATTTAATGAATATTTGCTGAATAATTAAAATATTGTTTCAGGAAGTGAGGGGGATATGAATGAAATGATCTGATTTCAGCACATCTACACTGTAATACGATTTCCCTTTATTTTTCAAAGCTACTTTTTCTCTTATCTCTCTCATCTCTGTTAGCAGCATCAAATAACCCTCGGGTTTCAAAGTTCATCTTTACCTCCTTTCTCTTCCTCGTTCTGTTCTCCACATTTAAGTTTATCACCACTCCCACTGCCAAGCCTCAAAAGCCCTCATCTCAGTCTATTCAGCAGTCCTCTAATTGCACTTTCCTAACTATGTCCTTTGATTCTTAGAGGCCATCCTATATTGTTGCCAGAGAATACTCTACAGCACAGTGCCACCCGTTATTCCCCTACTCAAAACCTTTAGTTTTGTGGAATTTGGGAGACATCAAATCCAGATTCTCTCCCTGTCACTCATTTCTTCCCTCTCTGTCTTGCCTCCCTCCTTTCCTTTCTGTGCCTTTTCTGTGTATTTTATCATCCAGGGATTATGCTAAACACTAGGGCCAAATAAGAACATGGCTTTATTCTCAAAGAATAATAACAATGTATTTTTGTCTTGCTATGATTTGTAGACAGTATGGAGTGTGGATTAGGGAACAAAGCTAACAAAGAGGCAGAGAAATCATTGAGGTTGAAGCTATATAGCCAAGAGTCTATATAAGCCTACACTCTAACCTACTTATATGGTGAGCAGTTCAAAGGCAAGGGTCATGTGTGTCATTCATATTTGTACCCCAAATGCCCCAAGTATTGCCTGGCAACTATAGGTATTCAAAACATGCTGAAATGAGCTAGGTGGATGGTATCACTGAAGCCTATTTGTCTCCTCAAGTGACCTATGCTTTAGCTGAATTGAATGTCCAGCACTTTCTCACTTCTTTGCCTTTGCTGACAATGCTCACTCAGTGATACGGTTTGGATCTGCATCCCTGCCCAAATCTCATGTTGAATGGTAATGCCCAGTGTTGGAGATGGGGCCTGGTGGGAAATGACTAGATCATGGGGGCAGACTTTCCCCTTGGTACTGTGTTGTGATAGTGAATGAGTTCTCATGAGATCTTGTTGTTTAAAAGTGTGTAGCACCTCACCCCTCTCTCTGTCCTGCTCCTGTCATGTAAGATGCCTACTCCCACTTTGCCTTCCGCCGTAAGTAAAGGCTCTCTGGGGCTTCCCAGAAGCAGATGCTGCCATGCTTCCTGCACAGCCTGTGGAACCATGAACCAATGAAACCTCTTTTCTTTACAAATTACCCAGTCTCAGATATTTCTTTAGAGCAGTGCAAGAATGAACTAACACAGCCAACTTATAATATTCTTTCCATCTCCATTTACTGAAGGCCTAACAAAAGGCCCCTGAACACCTGTGACGTGTCAAACATTATGTTGGGCACTAGGTATAGCATAGTGATTAATATAGACATGGCTTCTGTCACCATGGCACTTAGACTCTACTGAGAGAGATTATACATAAATGAGCAAATGTATAAATTGTAAAAGTATTACAAAGTATATATGTAGAGTATGGTGACACAGAATCGAATTTAGATAAAGTGGTCAGGGTAGTCCTTTCTATGCCATTAACATTTACATGTTCAAAAGTTCAGTGCACTTGAGAGAAACTGAAAGGACTATGAAGCTGAGACATGGGAGTAATAGTTACTGTTTGCACCACTTGTTTGATATTTACCTTATGCTGCCTTTTACTATTAATTCTCCTTGTAGGTCTACACATCATGTTTCTATGATCAAGTTAAGCTTCCTGAAGCCAAGGACTTTCCAGTACTTCATGGTGCCTTATTAATATCCAGCACAGTCCCTCCTGCATATTGTTTGAGGCTTAATCTGCCTCTTCACATATATTATTTCTAATGCCACCCTCCCCTAATTCTATGAGGCAGATGTTAATTTTCATATTTTACTGATGTGAAAACAGAATCAGAGAGGATACGGAACTTGCCTACAGTTACAGAGCCACTACTAAGTGCTTAATTGAGGATTCAAATACATGTCTATGATTTCAAAATACCAGGCTTTTTCACGATTCAGATGTTGTAAATTGATGGCTTAAAGACATACTCATCTGTAGAGTATTTTAATATATTTTGAATTAGCTACTAATTTAAAAAATCTCAAAATGTGACATTAAAAATTTGGATTTCCATTTTTTCTTAAAAATTACGATACTCTAATAACACAAGTCCTGCATTCCTGCATGGCAATTGGCTAGAGCTGAGTAGTGACCTCCTCCAGACATTTTCCTCTTTATATCTTGTCCATTTATTTGGGTATCCTTCCTGGTGGTCCTCTACAAACATCTCAGTTTATAATCCTTGCACCATTCTATGCTTATTATAATTTACTTAAGTACTAACACAACGTATATGTATAAATATGAATAGGGTTTTTTTTTTTCAGTGATTAACTCAGTTTTCCTAGGACTTCAGCTGAGACCATGAAACACAGAAGTGGAGAAAAGAAGGAATGCATTACTGAAGGAAAATCATTGATAAATACTGAAGCTGAGAATGAGCTTAGTTTATTTTGGCAACAGGATTACTTAAGGTTGGGACCTCACTCTGAAGACTCTTAAAAGCCAGGATGAGGTGTCTGAGGTTTTCTATAGCAGTTGTTTAAAGTGTTTGCAAAAAGAAATAAGACAGTAGCTCCTGAAAACTTTTATATATGACAAATAGAAAAAAATGATTTCATTTTACTTTTTCCAAAAAAAGTGGAAATGACTAAGATAATGTCTACTTACTTTAAATGAACTTCAGTTTGGGAATGTATTGCTTCTCCCAACACATTTCCAGTTTCATCCACCACAGCAGCTGCTGTATCATCACAACTGGTTTCAATTCCCAATACTATTTTATGAAGAAATAGTGTTCCAGGATGAAAATTAAAACTTCTTAAAAATTCATAAACTTTCCTTTTTGATGGTTTAAAAACTCCTGCTGTCTTATTCAAGGTTAGCATACTTACTCTATAGATAATTCCTGAAAAAGAATTACAGAAACAAAACAACTTCTTATTTGCAGTTGACATTGGCCTGCTAATCTTTCAATATATAGTTTTACAGAATTACAGGAAAGTCTGTAAAAATCACCAAAATTTTGTAAAGGATATATAGCAACATGTGAATATAAATAACATTATGAGTGGATATAATGTTCCTCAAGAGGGAAAACGGGTCAGATATAAAATTTTTTCATTACTTGCATGCTGTTCATTCCAAAGGACTTCTTATTAAAACAGCTAATATTACAGTACAATAATTGATAGAGTCCTCTGAAAAGTGCTATTTATTTTTGACAGCTAAAATTAAGACAAAATGTGGATTTTCTAAAAAGAATCAAACAACAAAGGCAGATGGAGCAGATAAAAATACTGTTAATGTATTCTGTTTCCTAAAAATACCTTTTAAAATAAAACTTGATCATTTGGTTCAAAAACAAGAGTTAACATAAACACACACACATCAGATTTAGTCTCTGGGTTATAAACAATAGTGTTCTCATGAAGCTCTTCTTCAAAGAAATATTTCGACTAAAATGACTGCAACCTAATACCTATTTTATCTTTAATTATAATCTTTGGAATTAAAACTCCACTTTTTGCTACAGGTTTTATCATAACAAGCATCTTCCCAAATCCTTTTCCCCAAAACTAATAGCCCATCACTAAAGCACAGTAGTATTTTCACACTGCGAAGTACAGTACCTAATTTTATGCCCCCAAATCATCCGTTCTAAAACTTTCCGGGTGTTAAAGCTGGTCGTTTCTCCACCACACTAAAGGGATACAGGGTATCCCAGGGATTCGAGGTGAGCGACCTACTTGCAGACAGTTGCGGGCAGTGCAGCCCAGACAGACAGGACACCCTAGAGGAATTAGATTTGCATTAACAAAATCTGGACAAGGAGGACCGTGCAAAGCACTACGCTTTGGGGCCAAGAAAGCTGCAGGGTGAACCCACGTGACTTAGGTAGCGCTGTTCTCTGGTCTGCTATAAAGCAGCGAAGGGCGCGAACTGGAACCGCGTTTCCAGGTGCACACCATCATTGCGGTGAAGAGTGAGCAATTTCACCCACCTTCCTCTTGGGGAGCAGGTGCTAACACTTGTCTCCTTTCCCTAGTAAAGACTGTCGACTGCCCGTATTGCTGCAGGAGAAAGCCCGAACCTGTCGCTCGGAAGTGATGTCATCAACACCGTGCCGGGTCCCTTCCAGAACTGGCTGGTGTTTCACTAGAGAGCGGCATTCTTAGTAAAAACAAAAGCTTAAAGGCCGTCTTTGCCCAAAACGTCCTGTGTGCTCGCATGCATTTTTCTTCAGATTTGCAGTTGATGGGAGTTCCATAGAATGACACAGCTAGTGACTGATCAGCGGAGACAGATTACAGGTTTGTCTGACTACACATCAAGTTGCAAACACTAAGCTACAATAAAAAGAATTTTTTTTTGCCTTTTGCTGGAATTTAGTTGATATTGTGAGAAAAGGATGGGGTAGATTGTTCATTCCATTTTTAAGGGAACTATCACCAAATCTAAAGATAGGGGTGGGGTACCTGATACTTTCATAAGAGAAATAGGATGGAAACTAGCGGCACCCCCTAGCGGGGCAAGGGTTGGGGGGGGCGGTGTCCGAAAGAACGGAAGTGTTTCTGGTCGGACAGTGTAAATCGTTACTCCCAGTTAACTTCGAAGAAAGGTGCTGGCTTGTTTTTATAATTTTTTTTTTTTAAGTCGGTGGTAAATATTCTGTTACCTTAAAAAATCCTATTTTCATATTGTTCTTACTATGTACACGAAATTCAGCATGGTATGTTTTCAGTCTTGCACCTGCTTTTTTTTCTTTTATTGGTTTGTGAACTTGTTACCATTGTTTGAACAGATTTATTCCAAGAGTCTTTCTTCTCCCTTGCTGGTATTTAAGATTTCAGTAAGCAAGGATCTTAGAATGCACTGTTGTACAGGGCTGGCATATATACCTGTACTTTGCACGTTGTGAAGCTCTGGGTATAAAAGATGAGTAAATCCCATAACATGTTGGGAAGTCAGAGTAGAGTCTAGAGGTAGATACAGAAGAAGTAAGTAAATAATTACCAGAATATGGTTGAGGTTTTTTAGTGGAGCTTATGTTTTTCAAAAATTTCAATTATGTGTAACAATAACAATAATAATAAAGGGGCACGGTGTACCAGGCACTGTTGTAGATTAATTTTTTCACCATCCCATGACGTAGTTATTGTCCTCATTTTACAAGCAACTGGGCCAGCGAGTTTGGGTGCTTTGGAGGTCACACAACTAGGAATAGTGAGCTAGGATTAGAAGTCAGGCCATCTGGCACTGGAGTCTGTTTTCTTAACTGCTAGAAGATAAAATAACTCACATTTTCTCTAGGGTGAATTGTTGGTCTAAAAAAGGAAAAAAAAATTTAAAACCTAAAGTTTAAGAAAAATTATATTGTTTGATTACATATGGCAAGTTAGAGGTTATTTCTGTTATACACTGGAATCCAGTTTGAACATAAAAACCTGTCACATCAATTATTATTTTTCTTACAATTCAATTATATTCAGCAGGTGTATCCCAATACTCTCCTGTGCTGTCAAGACAAGCAAGATCCTGTTGTGTGTGCTATCATTGGTAGATTCCTCATCTAGGCACTCTTTGGCCAGTGTTTAGTCCAAATGCTGTCTTATGTGAAACAGCAGAACTCTAGGGCACATTAGAAAAGAATTTTATCTTTCCTTTGACCTAATATATGTGACATGGCACTTATACAAGTCCCATGTATTTTCTATGTTCTTTATTGTAGCACAGGAGAGGGTTATTAGGGAAAAGGCATGTATGCTCTCTGAGGCCTGTCTGTACTTTATGTAGATATCGTATGGCTAGAATGCCACTCATGGTCATTCTCAACAAATATGGCCTATGTAATTTCAACATAAGAGTTCCAGCTCAATCTAGATATGCTCATTTTGTCTCAGATATTGTGTGTCTAGCTTTCCATTTGTAGCCTTCAAGGAAATTTTAATATGTAATATGTATTAAAACATAGAAGAATCTTATTTTCAATATTTATTTCCTAATTATGTCCTACTATGTTAGGTTTTATTTTCATTTATTATATTTTTATTGGATTCATTTCTTTGTGATAGGAACTTTAGTAGTTGCTAGCGATACGGATAAGGTCCATTCTGTTCTCAAGGATCTAAGTCTATAGGCAGAAGACAAAAGGCAATACAGAATTATGGAAATATGTATGGAAAGTGCATTCTGAGAGGGGTATCGCTTGGGGAAAGCCACGTCAGCTTGCCACAGATGTATGCAGTCTGGCAGGTCCACAATGTGATTACTTAAGTTTCAATATCTGATTTTTTTTATAGGCTTGAAATTGGTTTATCAGGTCTGGAAGTGACTGGACTTGGGAGTACTCAGTTACACACCACAAACTGCTAATATAATACTGTGTGAAAGCCATTAATACTAATGTATTAACTTATTAGAAATGCAATTATGGGGGAGCAGGGATAGTTGTTTGCTGGTTATCTTCCTTGTATTGACCAAATTACAATGAGGCTAAATCCAAATTATAATCAGAAGATTGCTTGGTAAATATGGAATGGAAACAATAGAAATTAGTTTGGTGCTTTTAATGGCTAATATTTCAAGCCTGTTGCGGCCCTATCCACTTGAGTCACATATGTGTCTTACATTCTTTGAGTTGGATAGTGCTGAAAATACACTGCCATTTTCCTTTCTCCTTTTAAATTTTCTTTGCTGACCAATATCTTTTGATGTGGAATATTCTTTCATTAGTGGTAATACTGTCAATCAGGTCTTTGGAAGATACTTTAGTTTTTGTTTGCTGAGTGTTATGCTTATTTCAAAAATTAACTTTCCTGAACTTTATTGTGGTAGAATTTACATAACAGAATTTACCATTTTAACCATTTTTTTTTTTTACCTGTTACTAGCAATCTCAGAATAAAGACATTTTAACCATTTGTAAGTTAAAAGAAACTAAGTACCTTCACATTCCTACACAATCATCACTTCCATCTAGCTCCAGAACTTTTTCATCCAAACTGAAATTCTGTACCCACCCAGCTTCTGGCCAGACACAGTTGCTTACCCCTGTAATCCCAGCACTTTGGGAGGCTGAGGTTGGCGGATTACCTGAGGTCAGGAGTTTGAGACCAACCTGGCCAACATGATGGCCATCTCTACTAAAAATACAAAAATTAGCCACGTGTGGTAATGAATGCCTGTAGTCCCAGCTACTCGGGAGGCTGAGGCATGAGAATTACCTGAACCCAGGAGGCAGAGGTTGCAGTGAGCTGAGATTGCACCACTGCAGCAGAGGTTGCAGTGAGCTGAGATTGCACCACTGTAGTACTCCAGCCTGGGCAACAGAGGGAGACTCCATCTCAAAAACAAACAAACAAACAAAACCAATAATCTCCCAATACTTCTGCCCTCCAGCCCTTGGCAACCACATTCCACTTTGTCTTTGATTCCTCTAAGTAGTTCATAAAAGTGGGATAATACAATATTTGCCATTTTGTAACTGGCTTATTTCACATATCATAATGTCTTCAAGAGTCATCCAGGATGTCATATGTATCAGAATTTTCTTCCTTTTTAAGGCTGAATAATATTCCAATGTGTGTATACGCCACATTTCTTTTAACCATTCATCCCTTGATGGGCACTGGATTGCCTCCACCTTCTGGCTATTGTGAATAATACTGCTGTGGACATAGATGTACAAGTATCTGCCCAAGTTCCTGCTTTCACTTCTTTTGGGTATACACCCAGAATTGAAATTGCTGGATCATCTAATTTTTGAGGAATCTCCATACTCAGATGATCTTATTTCCTTATTTTTCAAGTGTGTGGGTCTATGTGTGGTTTTGGCAGGGAAGGGACAGGATAAGTCTCTGTTGTTCCCACATACTCCCCATGACTGTTAAGTGCTGTGAGCTGTGATAGAAGCATATGGTTTTATGAGAATTCTAGGAGGGACAGATGTTTCCAAGGGTCTCTGTATTTTCACCAGCAATAACTAATACATCATCTGGCTTCTCTGTTCCCACTATAAAAATTATAAAATGAAGAAAATGATTCATGTTTTAGCATCTTGGTAATATGGTCAACATAAATGCAGAATATTTAAACACTCTGGGGTTTTCAAAATAAGACTGTCAATAAAAATTTATAACTGCAGAAAATTTATATACTGTAAAATTCCTTTCATACTTTATATCTTAAAACTATTCATTTTACAATGTTAATGAAATGGCTTATTTCTTTACTATAGTCCTTGTATTTATTTTATCAACACATACTTATGCAATCAGAGTGAAAGAACACAGTGATAAACTGCCTTATCTGCTAAACTTAACATTATTTAGAACTTGAGAGCTACATATAAGTCTTGAATAATTATCAAGGGCTTGAATAATTAGTTTATCAAGGGCTTGAAAAATTAGTCAAGAAATGAAATAAATTACTATGCTGAAAATAAAACCCAAATATTTTTATTCTTCTAATTATGAAATATTTCAGATTTTGAAAAAAATTAAATACTATAAACAACTTCTGTGAGGTCAACATTCAACTTGAGATAAAATCATCCAATACAGTTGAAGCCGTATATCCTATATACTTGATACATTCAGGATTCCGACTTTGCTGTTTATATTCTCATGCCTTCATTTGTAGTTATATGAAAAATTTTAAACCCCATGTAACAAACTATTGCTGAATTACTGGATCATTTTTACCTAGAACTGAAATTAGGGAGTAAAATAAAAATGTGATACATCTCATTTTCACACAATAAAGGAGATTTTATCTCTGCTATTCTACTTACCTTCCCCTTCCCTGCCCTGCACTACTACAAACCTCCTTTTAGGGTATTTTACCTAGACATGTCTTTTTAGTACTGAACTTGTTCACATTTCTCACATCAACATGTACTATCTATGTTATTGTTTTGGGAATTATTCTTTTCTATCCTGTTAGAAAGACTATTAAATTGCACTGGTTAATGGTGGGTTCCTCCATTTGTGTTCTTCATGACTAGCATGAGGCTATTTTTGGTGATGATGACATATATAACATTTAAGACATAGGAGAAATATACTGAATGAAAATCAAGATTCAGCTTTAGCTAGACAAGATGAATCAATAAACTAAAATCTAACAAGATAGAGTTCTATAGGAAAAATGTCTTAAGAGTTTGGTTTAATCAATAAGTATGTGAAGGATAAGCCATCATTTAACAGCACTACCTGTTGACAATTTAAGGTTTTAGTGACATAAAGTCAATCAATGATATGTGGTTGTCAAAAATAACTAAAGTGGTATTTGGCAGCATTAAAAAAAAAAAAAGCATCCAGAACAAGGGAAGTGGTACTCTTTCACAGCATATCTGATCACCTCTTGTATTTAACTCTTGTGCTATATAATAAATAATAAACTGGAACTTAGAGAATTACCAGGATAGTGGGAGAAATCTGAAACCATATGAAAAATGGTTAAAGGCTCCAGTAATATTTATTCAATGCTGTTGACACCAATTTAAAACTTATCTTTAAATAGTTGAAGAGTTATGTAAAGATAACTTTTGACTCAATA